CACTGTCCGTTTATAATTGTGACTATCCACGTAAGTACAATAAAGCGGTTTAGGTTGTTCAGTTTTTTGAAAAACTATCCGCATATGAGAGGTTTACTTTCCTGTCCAATGGCTTGTAACTGCTTAGTTGTAATAAACAACTTCGCGGCGAAAAGTTCTAATCCCCTCACTGGTAAGCATCCTTTCACGGTAAGCAATATTCTGTGGTAGTGAAGCTGCTTCTACTTGGGAATCTTGTTCGATTAGGTGCCAGGAACAAAGCTTGGTTAAAATAAGCCCATACCATCCTCATATTCTAATGATCCTGGGGTTACATGAGTATTTATCCAACGGTAGGTAGTACAAAATGAATCTACTGTCAAGGGTCCGACAAAATTACGTTGCCGCACAAGACTTTTTGGGCGTTTTCAATGTGAATGAACACTGGTGTAACTGTTTTCCTTGTTTCGGAGAAATGCGGACGCATGCATGAACCGGTTTTGGAAACCAGAGTCTTCATCCTACCAATCACTGATGTTACTGTCATTCTCGATATCTTCCTCCTTTGCTACGTTTTATTTATGGTGATACCTATCAACATCTGCATCCGAAAATTTTCGCTACGTCTCTCCTGCTTTGCCATACCTCAAAATTATGACCTTTTTGAATTGGACGATCTATCCAACCATAAAACCATCCAAAATTTGTGGATTTGACTACAGAAAAATGTGCATTACTTGAGACTACCAACTAGGGAGCACTAGTTGTTTCTGACCGTGTTCTGGACGACTGAACCTGGGTTCATTATTCCGCCTGCCTAACGGCCTATACTACTGGTGAAGCATGAGAGTAGTGTCTAGTCTGGTTTCTCCGGCACCCTATGGAAATGAAGGGTAATGCGAAAATTAAGGAACCGGATCGCAGTGTTCATTCATTATTGTTTCACATAAAAATAAAGTCCCGGAAAGTTCAAGTGGGCGCTTGAGAATGTTCACTTTTCAAAAATGCTGTGCTAATTAGTCAGTTACTTTGTGATCGCTTGATTTGCCAATAAACAACTCCGCAGAGAAGGACGTTTCCCCTTTCACTCGCAGCAAACGAAATAAGGCCAGGCTAACCAATTTATTTCTTCGTTTCATTTCATCATCTGCGAAACCTCTGCAGAATGAAGTATTAGCCGCGTGAAAAACAGCTGATACGAACGGCACAGTTCATAATTTGAAGCTGTCCGGTGTTTTTAAAACGGTTTCTTTTTTTCACATACTTTTCAGATGAAAGTCCCTCGTAAGGGGAAGTAGTTCATCGACGAAATTGAAATATTATGCTGTCATTCGATTCTTACTGTTAAGTACTAGCAACATGTTGTTGAATTTGCAACTTTTAGGAGAAATGTCATATTGCAGCAATCAAATGATAACAAAAGCTAGGATCACACCCTACGGTGATTTTTCCAAGATGTGTGTTCTTTTTTAGGCATGAAACTAAACGTCAACGTGCAACGTCACATCAGTGACGGATGCTGTGTGTTAAATACCAACGTTTCATATCTGGTTGCATTACTTCGCAGGAATTTTCTGCCTTCTTGCATGGGCGAGTTCTTTTTCAGTGGAGTTCACTGGTGGATCTGACGTGTAGACATGTAACCTAGACAACGTGCAGTTATTTTTGTTATATCGATCGCCTAGTTAAGGCTGCATAGACAAAGCATTCATAAAAACAGAAAGTTCTCGTTTGCTAAATTTGACCCCATTTTTGTGTGAACACAAGCTACTTTAGTTAATATCACTGCCTCCAAGCACAGAACGCCAGAGCATGCATACCAAGGTACAGAATGGTTTCCCTGGTAACCCAATTTCATGTTGCACTCTAAAGGTGTGAGAACCGTATTTGGATCGGTTACGGAACGCAAAATTTCCGTTTTGTATTGTATCGGATTCTCTATCGTCGATAGTTGGTCAAGAGGGTTAGATGTCAGTGAAGTCTAAACAAGCCGGAAGAGCCCTCGAATAACAAAATAGGGACGTATTGGCCCGTTAGTTATGTTGCTCAGTGGGACAATAATGATCGGAGCACATGTTCATTCGCTTAGGTCCACGAACTCTCTTACACAGTTGGTCAATGGTTCGTTTGTTGATCAGGGCGACCAGAACATTTGCTGGGTCGTCGTTCGAGTCATTTGGCTCAAAGTACAACCATACGTTTCTGTTTTGAAGTGATAATTCATGTTTACTGTGCTAGCTGAGTGAGGTAGCCGATCCGTCAGAAGCCTGCAACTCAAACCAGAGCGCAACCCAGGATGTGGTTGCTTCGTTTCGAGCTCCAGACCGTTGTTTCCTCCCATTGAAATGGACCATTCGCCCCAGGACCAAATTGAATATGATTAGTGCACAAATTCTGCCAGTCATGCAGTCGCTCGCAATTATTCGCGACCGCCGTCTTGTGTAAGGCTTTCTCTCTCCTCGAAATGACACTTATTAAGATGTCACACATCTGAAGTACCCATCAGCAGTCTCGCCCGTATTGGGTCTAATCAGATCGGTGTGGTCCCTGAGTTATATCAGGAAAGTATAATACAACGTCTCAAATATCGTTCCAAATGAAGCCTGAGGCGATTTTTTTGTGGTGAACTTACTTGAATGATATCACTTGCCCTAAGTTGCAAATTAGGGCATTTTGGTATTCGGTATTATTCAGTGTGAATTTGTGCCACAGTCTCAGAAACACGTTCAAAGTGATTTACGTTTCCAGCATTTCTGAACTTTTCACCCTCGTCGTATGCACCACATCAGAGCTCCCATTACCGTACTTGGTTTTGATTGTGTTTTAGAAGAACCCACTTAATATTGCAGCTAGACACACTCGAGTCGTTGCTGGATATTCCATATTTTTGAAACGCTTTCCCCTCCGAAAACAATGCTAGTTTGTGATACAGCCAAAGTATAGGAACAGTTGCACAGTGGCTCAATCGTAATGTTTACGTATTTCTGTTTAAATCAACATTTTGCGGAGGAAGTTTAAGAAGTTGCTGCCCCCAGGAAATAACTGATCCCTTGAGTTGGTCTGCGATGGGGGAACCCGGGTTCATTTGATACTGATGGAGTAAGGGTGCACTGGAGAACACATTATGATATTTGAGAGATACCGTCAGGGCGTCTGATATTTGCCAATGTTTCAATGACTCATGGTTGATCGTGCTAGGCTGATTGCTTTTCGGTTCAGTGTTTTTCATCATAGGATATTTCTGACGATTTTGTCTGTATTTTCAACACAGTGTGCCATGGGGGAACAGAATGTCCAGCAAGTCGCTCATTTATTCGAAATCCTCTACTCACATACTCGGTTTATTAACCTACTTGCCTCTTCCCTGACAGCCCACCAGATCGAGACACAACAGTACCACCGGCAAAAGAACCGTCTACCGCCACGATGGAACCAACAGGTATGCAAGCCCATTCCTTATTTATGGCAGATCTGACACTCTGGTACTCTTGAACACCGAGTACCTTGTAACGAAATATCAATAAACACTCTTCTGCATTCAGAATCAGATTGAAATGCACACTGGAGCCTCTGTGCGGCATCTGATGATGAGTCCGAATAAACGCCCAATTTATGGGATACAGGCCTAAGCCAGTGGCTTCCTTCTGAAGTAAAATCCAACCGAATAGTGCGTAAACGACTAGCCTCTTGTTTTAGGTACAAAATCACGTAGGTGTTGACAAAATTTCCCAAGTTGTTAGATCAGAGAAGTTACGAATTGCTTTATGAAAGACACTACGGACAGCTGGCCGAACCTTGAATTCTATGTGGAATAAAATTCTATTCAACTGTTTATACGCAGAATTTGACCCAATTTTCGGAGGAATACACTACTCTCAAACTGCATCGATAAATGCAGCTTGTAGGGGAGATTAGAGACGGATAGACCTTTCTGTCTGGTTGGATAAAGTACAACAAACTATGCACTGGTTTATAATTGTGGGTGCTCATCCATTGGACGAGTCGGAGAAACAGTTTGACCCGTGTGGTTCATTCAGGAAGCGTCAACAATGCACCCACGACTGCAAGAACCGGTAGGATATAAGCAGCTGCAAAACAATTAAAACCACACTGCTTTCCCTTAGTGAAGATGAATCCAACCTGTGACGCAATATGCACCATGATGCAACCAGCGCTAATGCGACTTCCACGGTGCACCGAGTGGGAGAGTTTGCTCAGAACTTTATATGTCTTGGTGAGTAGAAAGTTGTCAACCCAATAATTGATTGCGACGAAATACCCTCTTCTGTTTCTTCGACAGGATAGTCTCCTGGACTAGCCATTCAGACTAGTTTCTCCACACATGGCAAGTATACTGTCTCCGAATGCGGGTATTTGTAAGACCAAGTGAAAAGCTATCATTTGAACAGGTTTGCCTTCTATAAACGCACGTGAAAAAAAACACCCGACAGGGCCAATGATACGCACTGCTGATGAGGCTTAATAAGTGCGAAACTCGACTCCAGTGTTTCTCCTGTTTGGTTTGGATGATTGTTTCAGGACAGGAGAATGACTGTTCAAACGACCATGTTATGAGAGTGCATCTTACCCACAATAAAAGACCGTTTGAATGTGGTTATGTTTACCACCGCTGTTAGGCTGAAAAATACAACTTCTTTGGATTGACAAGTTTGAATTAAACAATACCATGCTATAAAAATTTTCACACTGATTTCGCATGCAGTTTCAAATTTGTGCGCTGAAGTAGTTGTTAGTTAGCAAGGTGGCATTAAGCAGGAGAAGGAACGCACAAACCGAAATCAGATTCGTTTTGTAACCACTTTAGACGAAAGAATCTACATGGAAAGAGACTTCTGAGGTTCTTATTTAGACAGTTTCAAAAAACGAGATAAAGACAAACAAAGCATTTGGACATGTTGTCGTTCACTAGCAAGCTGTTTCTTGATGTGCTTACGAAGATAGTTGATTAACAAAATACGGTCTTCCTGTCTAAATGGAGCAAGTTGATCGATAAAAATAACCACAGGAATCCCACTGTCATATTCCGTTTGTTCACTATTCCAAGGAAATAAATTGCCTAAGGAGACTTGACTATGTAGGAACGACCATTCCAAACGCTGACACAGTCTAAAATTCAGTTTATTTACTAATTACAGAATATTGCAGTCGATTAATCCGCATTCACTCATATTTAGAATTTTTAGCTCTTAGCCTGTCGGTGTAACAGTTCTTGGTGGATCCATATTACTTCTACAGTATTTTGGCATCTGGAGCTAGCACATTTTCAACTTGAACTGTCATCACATCGCAGAGAGTATGAAAAAAATTGTTGCCGTTTTTTGTACAGCATGCATCTCACCTTCCTACTAAAGTCAGAGTTTAAGTAGTTGATGCTTTGCGTAGCACGTTTTGTCTAAGCATGGAAATGTGGACATGTGAATCAAGAATAAAATGTCAGTAGCCTCTCTAGACATAACTCACTGGGCAAAGGATTGTGAAAACTCTTCAGTTAGTTTGTTTTTTCTCTGATAACATACAGTGCCATCTCGAACACCGATTGAAAACTGATGCGACCCTGAGCAGCATACTCGGTTGACGACGTTCGTCATAAATGAATTATCGAGATGGATTCAGTTGAGCCTTCCGCCAGAATCAAATTAATGTGCAAATGAGGGCATCCACTTTGTTCGGAAGCAATTGTGAGGTATGAGATCATGCCATCCAGTGAAAGAACTGAGTACTTATCAATTTTAGGCCAAGGGATTGCTTATCAAATTAGTTTTCTTCGCTTAGTTTTGCACCGTGTATCAGCGGAAGCCTGAATAATCATTTACCTTGAAAATTCCAGCAGAGCAACTTTGTGTGGTGCTGATGCACTGGTGTTTTAGCTGGAAATCAATGTGCAGTTAGATGTACAGCGTGACCCAAATAATAGGTGAAACATTGTTGGTTTAAATGTGACCGAATGACAGCTTTGTGCATTGGACATGGTATGAAACATTTCTGAGTGTTTCAAATCAATTGAGTGTGTTTAATGCGGTCGTTGGATATGCAAGTACTCTCGATATGGCCTCCTCCCATAAACGGCTTTTATAAGTAAATTGTTGCATGGCATATGCTACATCTAACTGTTTCTTGTCATTATGGAACCAAGTAGAATACTGTTCTCCATAGGTAAGCTGCACAGCCGTAGATTATGCGCAAATTGGCCAAGCCCATCAACTCTCTTGATTATGGTAAAGGATTTCTGAAACGGGCTTTGAGGTTTGACTCAAATCAAACTATGATGGAAGTTTTCATAAAGGAAACTGCTCACAAGGTTGCTGAAAAGTTACTGAGTTCTGTTGATGACTCAAAACTTGTAATGAAATTCACCGTCACAGACTGATAAAAGTGAAGATCAGACAGCTCGTTTTCTTCATAAACATGATTAACCGAGCCGTTAAAACGTAACCAATGTAAACCAGTGTACTTATGAGAAGCACAAATAGAGTGACAACTGTGAAACTTCATTTTCCACTTCCCGAGTGCGTTCTTCTTGGGAGTCTTGTTTCCTTGTGGTGGGTAAATAATAGAGAACTTTTGTGCTACCTACTAGAATGGTGAAATTTCAGCTGTACCCTTCATTTTGAAATATCGTAGAATATCGTACCCTATCTACAGTGTAGATGTATCCGTTACTAACACGAACCAGTGTGACTTGCTGAAGTTGGTGTTTGACGGTTCCTGTTATCCTTAACAAAACAGACTGGTGGGTTTCTACCACCTAGTCAAATAGGGTTAGAAACAACAAAACGGGACACTTTATGATTTAAACAACTAGTATGGCAGTACATACTGGGACAAAAAAGTTATTCCTAAGTAGTAGGGAGATTTGAATGTTTCAGATGAACTTCTATGGTTTCTGAAAAATCGAGGGACATTGGTCAGTTTTTGTTTAGAAAACTCCTCAGCGACCTTTGTGAGAATTCAGACTCCAAATGGGAAAATGGGAAGTATTTTTTCTAATATTATCCCAACTTCTATCCGAATCAATCCTAAGCTCTGAACAGGTTCAGCCGCACGGTTCCAGGTGATGACCTTAGTATACTCTGTTCAGTCAGTTTCCGCATAAACTGTGGGGTACATTTATATGATACAGCAGTTGATGTCATGATTGAATCAGGTAGGTGGTTGGATCAAAACTTGTTGCCTGTCAGTCAGGTATCGCTTATCCGGACGACATAAATGCGGGCAGAATTTGTTGTCTTCTAAAGTGAGACCCTTTGTGGAAACTACAGAGATGTTGGCGCTTGTGATAGACACAAACCGATAAGGATGAAACGCCTGCTGGGGTTTTATAACTAGCCATCCTTTCCTCTTCCAGCATTGCCGAACTTGCTGCGTTTTCTGTGAGTTCGTCATAGTGAGACACTACCACATCATATATGAGTAGCTCTGCGAACAGTTGTTAAACTGGTGAAATAAAACACTCCCACACTATAGGAAGCATTACGGCAGTGAAGCATCAGTGTTGAACACTGATGTCTTGCTGTCGATGATGATGATGATGACATAGGAAGCACGAAACAAGCGTCTAGCACAGATGCACTCAGACTAGACCTCGAAACCCCAGTTTTTTGCAGTATATGTTTAAGCCATAACTTGCCTACTGTTCCAACGAAATTTAACGCAACCACACTGAACATTTAGTCTATCAACGTTTCCGATTTTAATGGGGGAACACGAAATTCTGTGAATGATTGTGACTTATCAGACAAACCGAGCAACGAAAAAGTCTAGGTTAAAATGCCATACAGTGTGGCTATGCTATTCGTACAAGGAAAACGACACTTATCGCTTACTGATGGTGAATTTTGACTGGTGGGCTGAGATAATGACAGAGCTTTCACTTGCCTCTTCTGATGGCAGAGAATCGACTTGTGACGGATCCCAGGTGATTCACCTTCATATTCAGTGGATAGACTTGGGTTGCCAAAAGTCTCTACAGAAGCCTTCGGTTTTACGAACTTGGTTGGAAAAACTATTTCCGTTAGAACGAACATCCAAAGACTATTCAGGCTAGCCAAATGTTATGAAGATATTTAGAAATGCCCAAATGGGCACGCACTGGACTAGTGTCTTCTTGCACATATGAAAAATATGCCTCGACTATTGAAGAATGTGGGGTTGTTCTGAAAGACATTTGTATGAGCCGCTGTTACCATACATGGCATTGTTAGGATATCAAACTGCCGAAAGCCTACAGGGATCGCAGTTGACGTTAAAGATAACAGAGTCGAATTTTTTCCCCAAAGCCTTATTCGGTCATAATCATCTGCTCATTTTTGCAACGGTCTCACACTCACTGAAAGTTATTAGAGCACCGTGTGCCAGGGCCCAAACGATAGGCTGATACGTATTGATTGAACGTCCCTTTTTGGCGCAGACTGTATGGGAACAGCTAAATGGTAGACTACCATCTTTTCAGAATGTTGTTTTGAATGGAATTCTTTCAATCCACTCTCAGATCCCACTTATAAACTACTTTGATGTACAAAGGAAGACTATCCTTTCCCAGTAGGCTTACTGCATTTCGCAGATGAAACATTTGCTGATTCATTTCACCAAAGATCGTTTTGGCTTTAAGAAGATAAGAATGAATAACCAACCACATGTTTCCGTGATGTGTCGGACCCTGTTGGGCCTGTGTGGTTATCCCCAACAAATAAACTTCCATAAGAATTCCCCACATTTCGAAAGTCGGATGGCGAAATGGGTAACTTGGGTTTAGGAACCACCAGTGACGTTTAGACTTGTGCCACTACTTAGTGGCAATAACTGAACTTATGGTTACATCGCAAAAAGCAAAATCGACCAGTGTTCCACTTTTTCGACTCCAACTTCTTTGTGCTTGGACAACTTGGCAACGTCTCAGTTCTCATGTTTTTTTCGAGTGAGGCACTGAGAGAGTACTACAGCTGAAGAAAGGCGTTATAGTTAGTTCCCGCGGGCTACTAATGCATCATCTTGTTTCAGGGGACAGTGTCCAGGATCTTTGTGGAGGATGAATAGTCTTCGACCATAGTAATATATACCGGTGTAGCGGTGATACTACTGATGGGGAGGCATGCGAGTAGTATGTTTTGTTCCTGTAAATTCGCTTTGCGTCTCTTGAAAAGGGAGATCTGTTGCGGAATTTGTGGAGTCGCTTTGTAGCATATGCTTGGATTTGAGCAATGAATGATTTGTGTCAATGAATATCTAAGAAAGTCCAAGAAGACTCGTTCAGAAGAAGATAGATATCCAGTTTTTGTAAATAAGATGCAAATGAGAATTTTGCTTCCCTGTCCAATAATCTGTAACTGGCCAGTTGGCATTTTCTAATGAGTAACTCCGCAGCGAAGGCTTTCTTCCTTTCGCCGGTGGTTAGCTGGTATGTAAGAACGTCTCCATGAGTGATATCAGGAAGCACAAAGTTTAGGGAATTGGAGAAAAAGACCGAATGACCTTGTAAGAGATCGTCTGGAACAAGCTGCGCATAAATTATATTCGTGTCGATGTAAGCAAATTCGATATCATCTCAGAGTCAACGCAGCACTCTGTACAAACCGTTATCCTCCATCATCAGTGTTTACACTGATGTTGACGGACACGAAGTTAACTCAATTTTCTTTCCGCCTGGTTCGCAAACGGACTGGATTGGGAGAGGATCTGTTACTAGGCTATGACAGGAATTCTTCAAAACTCACGCCTGTGAACGTTCAATAAGATAACCAGAAAGAATTTGGCGGAATTAAGGTATCTGACAACGTTTAGGCGCTAATTTTTTTGACGTCTCTAGCCAATCACAGATAGGGTCAAGAGGACCGCTTCCTGCGCATCGCATCAAAAACTTCCAGTAATCCGTTTCACAGCTTTCGTCCAAATCACATACTATCCATCGCGCAGGCTGTGCCACTAAACAGAAAGCACGGAGCACAAAATTACTCCCGACAGATGGCCATATGATATGTATGCATCATGATCAAACCTGCGCACTTTCTCATGACTGAAGCACTTGCTGTATAGCCTAATACCTGTTTCTGATTAGCGCGTTGAAAATTTGCTGACCCCACTCGATACCAGCAATGCATTTGAAATATCTGCGACGGAAAACCTGAATACGCCCAAGTTATCTGCCCTTTGAGGCCAAACCCTGCAACCGTACAACAACACTGCGCCGTGACTAAGGAATGGTTTGGATAGAAAATAATTTCAGATGACTCTCACAACTTTCTGTGCGCTTTTTCCACGATATGGTCCAATGTTGTTAGAAGGCATACATAACGTGAGTCGTGCATTACACATATACATGTATCGCGATATCTCGAATATCGTAGTGACTGAAACATGAGGCAGCCTGGTTCAGCACATTCATTTGCCTGGAAACATCAAAACCGAGAGATTCACCTAGAATTCAGGCGAGTCTCTCGAAAAACGAAATTAATTTGCAAACGAATGTATATTCGCTAATTTCATACTATTTGGTTTCAAGTAGAACATACGGTTGACGGGAACTCGGGAACTGCGCCTACTTTATGAGCTCCAAGAAAAGTGAAACCGGCCGTGGGCTGTCGAGGAGTTTTCAGTTACCTTATGAGTAGTGCATTGCAAACATATAAGGTGAAAACAGTTCATTCTCCTGAGGGTGAGTCATCATGGGCTCTCCCTGATATACTTATTGTAGTGTTTTTAGAAAGTTCCTGTCGTCCTGTCCAGGGATTAAAAATTATCCATCCGAACGGAATCTACTGAACAACTTTGTGTTTTGGAAATAAGGCCTTTAGGTAAGAGCACTTACTAAGAAACGCAGTTGTGATGTTAATCGAGTTTAGATTTCGCCACGTTTGCTGCTTGCTTTGCTTCGTTAAGGAAATTGTTTGTCAGCTTCTACGATTCACAAACAACGAAGAACTTAGTACCACTCTTGAGACAAATCGGGTTAACCTAGGTGGACGCAATGAACTTAACCGCAACGAAGTTACGGTTAGTCGTGAACCAATTTGGACACTGAGAGAAATCAGGGTTGAACAAATTGTATTGGGTTACAGTCTTTCGGACTTGATTAACGGCGTGACATAAAACAGAATGTCACCATCACTTATTATGACTATTATTAACTGGTTTAAAACACTACGTTTGGTTTGCTTTTCCAAAGATTATGTATAACAACCCTCACAAATTTGTCACGACGCTATTTTACAGGCCCCGTGTCTCGCTCTCCGAACAAATCACTCCCTCCTCTGGAGCTTCGTGACTCGATGACCACGACCCGGACACCTGCACTATCAATGGCTTCTCGACAATTTTCTGGGAACGAACCACACATGACAGAGCGGCTGACAAGTATTTCCTCTTCATATTCGGTCAATATCACACGCAAAGATGTCTCCCAACTTATTGGGACTCCGCAAAATTCGGCCTGTCCGAAGCCAACTGCAACGCCCGAGATTGGATGCACTGAGCTGACAGTGTGTGTGTCGGACAGAGAAGATGCCTTGTCGGCCACTTCGAGTGAATCCAGGTCGGACATGATGATCGGGGAGAAAAATGACTACCGGCACGGTGTTAACGGTTATACCAAGGAAGCAGAATGCGGCCAAACGAACGGTTTGGAAGTACACGATAGTGAGAGATTTGGTAAACATTTGAAAGAGTATACGGATTGCTAGCTGATCTGAATTACGGAAAACTAGCATCATGATTTAGAAATAATAAACTCATGTGTTGCATTTTACAAATGGTCGCAAGTTATGGGTTCCGGAAAAGCTACCCACCGCGCAGTTCCTCTTGACTGAACTTTTACGGGTAAATGAAGCACAATGTGACTGTGTGAAAGTTAGCTTCATAAACCAATGCAAAGCACCGCTATGCACACATGTTGTGTCAGTGATGTCAAGTTTAAGAAATCGAGGTGTAAACCAGAGGATAAGGCGATCGTACTTTGTTCCATCTACTAGATGAGTCCTTGTCAAGACGAACTATTTGGTGGACGGTGTTTAGATAATTCTCGCATACTAATTGCTGGGTCAGGGTGATCTACTTCATCATCATCATCATTGTCAGCTGTAATAACCGCGTACTCGTCGTACAGTGGTTGTAGTTGCCGCAGTGCTGCGCACTGCAGGCGGGAGCCTATAAATTCGTGCATAAATCCAGCACTGTCAGTGGGCTGTCAAGTGGGGGCTGGAAAAGTAGCTATGCATTGAAGGCAATAGCTTGGATGCACAAGCACCATTGAGGGCGCGACTGGGCAATATCTGACAATGGCTCTAGCCAGTGATGTGGCCCGTCTCGGGGTCCTCATCCAGGGAGACGGCAGTGACCAGCGCGGCTGAGTTTGCTGGTAATGGCTTTCACACTTCGCTGCCAAGTCATTGTTTGACCGCCTCTGGCTCTCTTCCACCCTTTACGTGGTTGGGGGAAAAGAGCCCTTCGAGGAAGTCGGTCGACTGGCATACGCAGCACGTGGATAATTACTCAGGTTATCTATATCAGTTTCCGGTCCCAGAAGACTATCCGTAATACATGAGAAGTATGAATGGAGCTTACCTGGCTTATTTCAATATCTGGCTTAAATTAGGGCGGATGCCGTGGCCTCCAGAATACTCGGTTATCCCAAGGACACATTACATTTTTGTGGGCATTTTAGAAGGTTTCTTTCGGTATCTTTAGCGCCGAAAAGTTGGAGATGCAGTTAAATGCTCCACCTACCCCATTCCGCCATTCGAATGTGGATAAGTCGCTTTGAAAACTATCTTCACAAGTGCGACCTTTAGCCATGTGATCCTGAAACTGACAATGGGTCACGTGAAGCAGTCCTCAACGGTTTAAAATTTGTGAGCCTTAATTAAGCAAAGATTTTCCTATGGCTGACGTGCCAATAAATCAACTTCAGGTTTTTGACCTGTTGATTTTCTTTGGTGGCACCCAGTGTTATTCCGGTGTCTACCAAAAAGTCACGGCGCTCCAACAGCACTCGTAAAATACAAATAGCACACACGAGAATGAACACACAGTTCCATGATTTTGACCTTTTATCAGCTTTTCTTCGTGATATATATATATATATATATATATATATATAAAGACAGATTTGAGTCTACAACTAAGCACAGTATAAACTACAGACTAGAAAACATGCGAATACAGTATCGTATGAGATCCCGTCGGTTTGAATGATAGTCGTACATCATAAACCCCATTAGGATGAGTTTGCTTGTAATATACCTCAGATCATCAGGAAGGGTAGTGACAGATTCCATTGTTCCCCAGAGGAAAAAGGCTCATGATTGATTTGTTTCTTTAGTCCTGGAAGAGAGTTATTGGCAGCCTGGTATCATCCAGACAATTAAGTGGTACAGCGCGAGCACAAGAGCTGGGTGAACAGATGTGCTTAACCAAAATTTGCTTTGGCACCAAACATTTTTGGTCAGCCGCTCAAAACTCCCTTCGGTTTCGCGCGGTGTATGCCGATGATGATTTCCAGTAACGGTGAAAGCGCTTTACAGTGCTTCACAGCTTTCCGACGTACACTGACCTCACTTACAGGACAATACCTCGGTAGAAGGCATCAGCCTGATGGTCACCAGGATACCAACACTGTGATACCTACTGAAAATCTCTTGTCGGAGGAAAGGCTATATTCTTGAAGGCACCATAGATTCCGTTAATACAAAGGCCTTCATACTGTTGATCAGTATGAAGGCGTTATTTACTTTTACTCACAACCTTTTTCCACTCTCTTTTCCCGTTTTTGTAGACAATTGCACCACGCCCCATAAAACTTCTGTCACCACTACATTCAAGGAAAATTCCAACGGTATTGCGGGTGACAGCAAATCTAGCGGTATAGAACTGCTAGAAAGGTACCTAAAAACCACGCAAAATGTGGATGAAGTGGTACCGAAGCAACTAGGGTCCCAAGAGATACCAAAACGTGAACGAACATTTAACCAGTTCCTGAATGATACGGAAGTAAGTTTCAGGTGTGTATACTTCGTATCTTATGAGTTTGCTCATTGGATAGAGCTAGTTGACTCCGGCTTCGAAAGGTTTCGGCGCAGTGGGGTGTCTGCGAACAAATAGTCATCATCCAACATATAGGAAGTAATCTACAGGTTGTTGTCTGAAGTTCAATGGACTCATCACGTGGATGAAACGCGGCCTTTGTCAAGTAGATCTCAGCTCAAAGACGGCAACCAGTATTCCATTGTGGGTATTCTGGAGAAACCGACGATTCTATCGTGCTCATCCGACGCGTGGATGGGCTCGGCGGTTTCCGGCCAGTAAATATCATCAAAGGTATATGCTTTGAAAAAAGTGTGAGCAATGACTGAAGCCAAACTGGTATACAACATTACAGACTTATTCTGTTTGCAAGAATCCCCTTGGTGTAGACTGGTGCAAGCAGAGGATCGGGCGTTCATAATTACCACATGTTTCCGAAGTATATGTCAAAAGGCGCCCTATATTCATTCAAGACAAGTTAATCAGAACGACCACACTTTACGGTCAAGTTGATCGCATAACGAAAAAAATAGAATAGGCGTTGAGCAACCCGGTACAGCAACTCACAACTTTGCTCGTCAACAGAAGCTGTTACAAATATAAAAGCGTGGTCAGTTTTCCACGCTACTCTTCATCCCGAAACCCACTGAATGGTACTTGTAAAGAAATAAAGGCGTATAAGTCCCCACCTCAACCTCAGTGGTGCATTCAGTTTTCTGTAAGGCGGCAGTGTCTTGTCTGATAATGGTGGAAACCTCAACTATCAACCGACTGTACCTGCGTCGTAACTGGCGTTGCCGGTTACATTCTATTCCGCATTGATCGATAATTGTTGATTTTGGGAAAACTGTTGCTTGAGGCAGAACAATGTTCCAAAGTTAGTGACAGCCAAAACTATTCTCCCCCTTTCCGATGTCGTTTTAATTACACGCCACGGTATCTGGTGCATGCAGATTAGGCTATTTTTCACTATTGCATGTCACTTTCCCCTTCGATGCTTTCGCTGGATGTGTAACTTTCCACATTCCAGTCCCTTTTTAGAGGGATTGCGTTCAACCATGGAAAGTTCTTCGCCTTCTGCATGCAAAGTGAGCTAATTCCTGGAGATCCTAATGGCGGAATTTCGACCTTGAGGGTCTTTCAACTTTGATGAACTGATTGACTGGTTAGACTCAGGCCTCAGCAGTATCCTGCCCCTTTTATTCTGGTTTTCCTGAGTGTTTCCAACCAATCGATTAAATGATTGACAAGCAAATAAGTAACTGCCATTTCGGCCCACTTAATTTATTTTCGGTCGCTGCGCTGCTTACTCATAGGCGTTTATACACCAATGTTGTAACTTTTCAACGCCATGGTGGTGACGAATCAAATATCGCTCAGCGACCCGTTCGGCTGACTCACAAGTCGGTGAAACTTGAAATTCTGCCTCCCTAGTGAACAGCACTGACAACCAATTACCGGACAAACATTATCACTGTTGGCACGGATGCTCACTGTCTTACCCACGCAAAATTTAGTTAGTCCTACTTAAATCATTAAATTGAGAAGAGAAAAGAGTGGGAGAGCGAAGGGACATGGTGATAGCATATGGCAAGTATTCTGAAGTGCCTACAACTCGATGCGCTCAGTTAGAAAATCTGGATAAGAGCTGACAGCAAGAACGCCATTGACATCGATTAGCCGCTTTTTGTTGCAGTCTTCAGCCAAGTGCAGGAGCGATCTCGAGGACCCCATCCTGGAAGACGTACTGTACCAACTACATCCAAATTCTTCATAGTCTGTTTTGCACTCTTCTGCATTCTGAAGTCGCCTCAGTACACCGTGTTTCGGTATTCGGAGCACATGGTCACGATACCGCAGTTGATGGTGCTGGATATACTCCGCCACTGGAGTACCGGCTGCACGACCAAATACTCGTTTTCTAATCGCTTCGTTACAAAATCGTTGATGCTGTCCAACATGACCAACGCTTATGAGGCATCGGTGGTCAAAAGCCTGAAGATGCCTCACGTCATCTGTTTGCCGAGGCTACGTCTCGCAACCATACTGCAAAAGAGGACTGATGCACACAACCTTCGAGCCTCGATGGCGCCACACTTGATGCAAATTAGAAAACTTGATTCAAGCCTCTGAGGTTCGTGCCTTGGCGTCATCTCACAATCTTCCGTCAGAACTAATACAACTACCGAGGTATGAGATTACCCCACAAGTTCAACCGCTTCACCTTGAGTTAGAATGCCCGTGTGCAAATAATGCGCATTCTGAAGCATAACCCTGCAATTTTAGGTGCAAGGCATATGTCACAAGATGACATGATGTTGGTCAGTGTTTGAAGATGAGAAGATGTCGTCCACCTACTCCAGTTGAAGTCAAAGTTGAGGTTGAAACTTGTTGTCCAGACGTTACGACCACAAAGTAGGCTAAGCTTGTTTTGGCTGTAGCAGCGTTTCACCTGATCCCGTTGTTCTGTATCTGTTGAGTCTCAAGTGGACTTATTTGAAAGTCGATTGTTCCAAGATAAGACAAAGTGGTGGTAGTTCAAATAACGGACAGCATTGCGAGCGGTATACCAATAAAGATTCGGTCAATAGTTCTAACAAGCTGATCGCTACAGCTGCATAACTGTGCCAGTAAGTAATCAGTCCAAGTATTATCAATGTC